TTTGCTAAAATTTCAAAATCAAAAGTTATCAAAACAAATTCTATGGGACTGAGAAATATTATTTTCTACTTTTTAGTCCATTTATAAAAGGGTTGTATATTAAAAAGTTTTTTATATTATTTATTTTCTACTTTTTAGTCCTGTCTGAAAAAAATTTTGCAATAGATATTAAAATAGTCCAACGATATTAATAGAAAGGTGCACATACATGCATTTACATATGTATGTACATACAAACGAGCACCAATTAATTTTATTTAAAGAAATGGCGTGTCGTCTATTTCCGCTGTAGCAAACGTAGTACATAGGGCGACATCTAGATGTCATCTACCTCGCCCTATTCACTACAGCTGTCGCCCTATGCACTATGCTTTTTTATAGGAACTTTTCAAAGCTTTGCTTTGGTGTCGGACACACAACATTGAAAGTTTCTGGATCCACAACATTGAAAGTTTCTGGACACACAACATTGCAAGTTGATAAAAGCGTTGTAAAAAAATTCAAAATTCATTTTTTGATTTATAGGATAGATTTCATCGATCACAACTACCCACCTCATGTTATGAACAAAAAAAAAAAATACCAGCCACGACCTTTACCATTTCAGTTACGATGTTCTTACGTCTTTTTGAATTTCAGGTGACGATATCCAGTTTGCCTCATAATATAACATATCGCTCATTCGATACACTTCAATAATGTCATAACTCAAAAAAGCAAAACTCGAAATAAACGGCTTTAAAGTTTTAAATTTACATATACATATGTACTCTTATAGCAAAATGAATAATTTTTTTTTCTATTTAGTGAGATACTGGTAATCGATACAGCAATAAAATTTTTCACAACATAGAAGATGAGGTAGCGGTAATTTCTGCTATTTGATAGAACGAGAATCAAAAATTTCGTACGCCCAAGTATGACTGTCCTTGATCTTAAAAAAATTGGTCCAAAATAGTATTCTTCGAAAATAAACATGCAAAATCCAACGGATACATGTATTAGAAAAAACCTTTTTTTTTACTTTTTATTATACTAATATTATAGATTTTGAGACGAGAAACAAGATTCCACTATTTAAAAATCGAAAAAAATGTAAACCGCTCAATTTGAAAATTGCATTATATATTGCATTTTTTATGATTTCCATGCAGCTGTGCATCCTTCACACATTTTTATATCGCTAGAACAACAAGTCAGTTTCAGTGCTATTCAAGAGCTTTAATTTCAGCCAAGGTAGAAGTCTCTAGGCCCTTTGAAAGCTAAATTATTACGATTCTAAAGTTAAACTTCGAAATTTCATTCGACATTTTACGTAATTTGTTTTCTAATTTCGGAGTAAAAACTGGCACAGCAGTTTCGAAGTTTGTTTCAAAATTGTTATAACTTGGCTCTTAGAGGGCCTAGAGGATTCTACCTCGGGAATTAGTTATCAGCACCATTTCGTTGTACTTGTGTAACATAAATGTTGCTTAAAGTGATTCTTCAACATTTTAAAAAAATACACATAATAAATTATATTTTTTTTAAGCAAAGAGTTAGCTTATAAAATATAATAGAGAAAATGAATAAAAACATAAAACCTTGGGAAATGTTTTAGCCCCACCCATCTTAATTCGGTCTTCAAAAGGTTAGTTTAATAGGTCTCGCTGTACTCTGGGACCCAAAAACTATATTTCGAACAAACGTGGTAGCACTTTCGTTATCACAAAGAACATAGAATATAAGGGAGCGATAAACATAGCATCTTTATTTCCTATGATCTTTGGTTATGTTTTATGATGGCTGCTTAAATTTTTTTTAAGGGTTTTTATAATTATTTGTTAAGATTGTTGTTTTTTTTTTGAAAGAAACCATACTAACTTGACTTTAGTGACATTATAAAAATAATAGTAATTCCCTCAAAAAATTCATCGATATCAATAAAATATTGGGCCATATCCTTTTGTTTTGAACAAAACTACATTTTTATTCTAACAACAAAATTATATGTTCGGATTCGATGCTTTAGAAACGTCCCGTTTTTTGTCCACACACCACTACAACGCCACTGTGACCAAGATTCCGAAAAGTCTGCAAATATGCCAGGCGGAAGTTTGTGTTCGCGAATGTATTCCTTAAAGGACAAATGGGCCAGAGTAAATATTATTGCGGGTAGTC